AAACTATAGTTGACTAAAATACTAAAGTTTCCCCAAAATTATGCATTAGTACTTATCGTCAGTTCCTTCAATGAACTAGGAAAACCACTTAGAAAAATAGTTACAATCCAGATCTCAAATGAAAGAAAGCAAGTTGTAACGCCGGATTATCCATGCTATCTGTACTGCTAACTGGAGGCGTGCTCTATCTGTCGAGTGAGAGAGAGCTGGCCTCAGAAGATCTGCTTTCCAACTTCAAATGAAAAACTCTGTTACTCGTTTCATTTGCCAACAGAAGAATAGCAGATGGGATATATGATTAAAATGTATATAGAATTACAAAAGTACACAGGTATTCGCCACAAATTTCGTCAAACTTTGTGGGAAAGCTGCGGCAAATCATATACATGAGTGAGATAAGACTATGATCGGACTACTGAGTGAGGCCGAAACCGCGGCAGTGATGGACGAATCGTGTCCCGGGCGGGATGGTTCGCCAGTAATTCCCTAATTGGCTGACCAGGGTGACATTTAGCTCGTGGGAATCCGGAGCCGCCTCTGCCACCCGGGAAATGTCACCGTTCTTCAGGGCTTGCTGGGAGGCGCCTGGGAGACTGTCCGTCTTAGGCGAGTCCTCAAGGACGCAATTCGCCAAAATATTAGAGGTGGTTAATAATCAATAATTAATTTCACTCCAGTAATACGAGATAACTGAAACTTTGTAGGTAAAGTCGTGAAAAAAATCTCATGCACACGAAGTAATTCCTAAAGAAGAAAATAAGGTGTTAGTTGATTCATTACATTTTTTTTAAATTATCATCCAAGAATTTAAATATTATAAATTTTAGAATTAGGCTAAAATATAATAAATTTAATTGATAAGACCACTATAAAACAAGACAAATTTTCCTATTTGCTTAAGTTTGCTTCGCTTGAATTCGACACCACACGCTTTTGAAGAAAGCATACTCCTGAAGGACGAGGAGAGACACTAGGTGAGACAAGAGAGACCCGACATCATAACTCGATAACCACAATCGGATTATCGGGAGCCAGCGGCCCTGTTTGTTACCGTCGTAATTCGATTCCTCGATTCTGTTGTGAGGGGAAAAAACCTGAGGGGCAGTTTGTTAGCCCACGGGCACACCCGCTAACTCAATTATCTCATTATATGTCAGTCTATTTGGGGACCTCGGTGTCTCAGGTTGACATAAATATCGGTTCCTCTACTAGTTCATCTCCTTTTTTAGTTATATTGGGTAACAATTATTAAAAGCTATAGCTAACTGGTTTATGATCTGTCCAGATACTTCTTTTAACACATAAAATTTGCATAGAAAGGTTGAGTCGAAGAGAACGGGCCAAACTCGAGGAGGCAAAAAAAAAATGTAAAAAAAAACTCATGTTCTTAATAGATTTTCATTTTTCAAACTTTATGGAATAATTAGAAATAAATAAAACTTCAAATAACCGATTTCATACATGCATTACATTTTGGTGTTAGAAGTATGATTTATGAAATTGTGGTGTGGTATTAATTGTTAATCGACGATTATTTAATTGTCAAAGGGAACTAATACTTAGATTTTTACTAATGGAATAATAAGGTATATTAGATGTCCCTCTAAGCATCAGAATGCAAATCCACTATCAGCATGATAGAGCTTCCACTCATATCATAATATTTGGACGAAAGGTTTTCAGATCGTTTGATTAGTCTCGGTGGTCTTCCAAGATCTCCAGATCTCACAGGATTATTGGATTATTGTTTATGGAGCTTGTTCAAAGATGAAGTATACAAAGTAAAAGTAGCCACTGTGGAAGAACTAATTCAATGGATTAAAAATCATTAAAGAATGATATGAAATAATCAAGATGGCAACAGTCAACCTTCGAAAAAGAAACAAGACATGTTATGAAGAGAGTGCGGGTATTTTGAAAATTTATTAAAATAACAATTCGATAGCCATAAAGTACACAAATGAAATATTGTATATTTGTGGAATTTTGTTTATTTGTAATTAGTCAATATATTCTGAATAAATCATAATCGGATAAGAATATGAATTAAAAAATATATATATCCTATGTGAAATCCACTCCAGCAGTTTGTCCCCTCCCCTCTCGTCCCGGCTCACTCTGTAAGCCTTATCGTATTTACTCTAAATATAAGATATCATACAAAAATCAGGCTAAAATTGGCAAAGAATGCTTTTGCACCGGCATTGCGCATAAGTGAAAGGGTGAAGCGTCGATACAGAAGCCGATACAGGAGGAATTGGCAATTGTAGGATTAGTTGATCGTAAACTGATGAGGGGATCGTAAACTGGCTCACCGAACTCTGCAACTCCTCGACTGCCGTATATCCCACCGGAGGGTATTACGTATTCATCCAGCGCCTAAGAACTAGCGCATGAATAATTAAACTGGTAGTTTAAAAAGTTAAAAGGTAAGGTGAAGAAACTGCATGTAAGGAGGAGCACGACAACACTCCCGGGCATGAGGAGCCACTCAGCGCTGTCTTGGGTTGCTTCATTGCTTGAGAGGACTCGGCGAAAGCGAAAGCTGGGAAAAACTGTTGTTTTTTTCCTATTATTCAATTACTTCCTTTAAGAAATAATAATAATAATTTGATTCATCTCTTTGATTATAATTAATTCAGACAATAAAGCAATAATTACGAGAGTACATATATTCTAAAATTATTGATTATATTAGTTTTCGAAAGATAATCCAATGTACCTCAAAGGCAAATAAGTCTCTGATGTTGAATCGTATCGCGCATATCCTCAAATAGCAATTAATCAAAATTCAACAGAAAACTATAAATGAATTATGAATAAAGTATATGCAGTATTTTTAATTTACAGTTAAATGCACAGGCGGATCCACGGGGAGGAGGAAGGTGGCTTTCGGGCTGAAGTCCCCTCGTCTTCCAAAATGTAAAATATAACCATGTTTTACAGAAAAAAATATTAAAAATTACCTCTTAAAGTATTATTGTTCGTGTAATTACATTTAATAGGACTTCATGAGTTACTTAAACACCATGTCATATAAGTAGTTAGTTTCTATCTTTTTTTTTCTAATTAATTATCATCATATATATGAAAAAAAAATTTCGGGCTGAAGCCCCCTCAAAAATTAAATCCTAGATCCCCTATTGGTTAAATGATATCTTAGTTCAAAATATTGGATGATAATTCAGTATCCAATTATTGTATCATATATGAATGAATTATAAAAACATAAATAAAATGTAAATTTCATGTTCTGTGATAGATTTTTAATAGTGTAAGTTGAATTTTTTTTTTTTAATTTATTTCTAAACCGATTTAAGAAGCAGATGTTCAAATGAAGTACAATAATATCAAATTTAAACATGCAATAACAAAATAATGCCAAATTGTGTAGAGATTTCGTTTTTGTATCGTCTTAAATTATAAAAGAAGAACATATTGAACCATTTTTTTTACCTTATTTGTAGTAATTAATAAATTAGTGGTTACCAATATATTTTAATTGATTTAATTATTATTAAGAATATTCCCAATTTGAAAATAAAAGATTTTTTTTTTGTTATATAAAAGTTTTGGAGGATAAACATTCCTTCTTTTCACATGTAATTACTTAACTAATATGAAATTTTATAAATGAATACTTAAATATCTTAGCATCTTTCTATGCATCATTTTTAAAAATGTTTCTTAAAACATATATAAAAAATAAACAATAAGCTAAAGCTAATACAAGATAACGCCGTTTTATTGCAAAATGTTATTATGACACTTAAATTAAAGAATTAAATTAAATTAAGAGTTAAATTTTTAAGAACATATTGCGAAGTTTGTTCATATCCATCGTTGTAAAAAGTCATTAACTGAATAAAAATAACACAAAGCATATTATATGTCAAAATATTTAATTATTTAAAATCTAACTCCAATAAACCGAAAATATGGTTATTTATGAAATTGAGGTTTTGAAAAAATTTAATTATTTTTATTTTCTGACATACTGTATTATTATTTGAGAAATAATAATAATAATTATTTCGACTTCAGTACCTAACACACTATCAACAGCTGTTTGTCCCCCTCCCCTCCCAGACACTCACATAGGACTTACGACAAACGTAACTGACCCGGAATAATCCGAAGTATAAAACTGTAGTTATTCCAGGCTAAGTGGTGCTGGAGAGCACTCCTACCACTGTCCGTCATTGCCGACTCCAGCAGACCGAAATAAATACCCTACACTCGGCCCTCGACACCTTCCATCTTCGGCTCTTATGCCCTAATGGATGGCATTAACTACCTCACCGTAAAGCTAGCCCCTCCTGTTGTGTTGTCATAGGATAGCTATTCCAAGAAATAGTGCTGGTGTTAATAGGCTCTGACCTTTTCCTCGGGAGAAACCTCACTGTATTGCAACACAGAGTTCACAATATTCCGGGCAGTAAACCGTCGAGGAAGAAGATGAAATATCTAAGACCATTAAAGCGCGGACATCCAATTTGGTGAAATAATAAAAGGGAGAGAGGAATGAATGGACGTTGGATAAAAGAAATGGACGAAGGATGAGGAAGGTGAGAGGAAGGGCTATTTACCGAGGGAGTATTGTTGTGGCTGAGCCCTAATCCACCTCCTAAGTTTGCCTATATAAGTTAGGGTCCACTTGTCTCCAACTCATTTCATTCGCAACATCTCCTCCCTCGGTGCCTGGGGCCCACCGGACAAGGAAGACACTCGATCGATTCAGATGGAATAGGAGAAAGCCAGAATTCCAATTTGACTTTTTTAAATATCACAATTTTATAATAATGTTTATAAAAAAATACTACATGTCAAAATATTAGTTTATCGTTAGTTATATGCACTTTATCAAATATCACGATAAGAATAATCCTCCGACTTGATGATTAGGGATATAAAATAATACGAATACTATTAAAATATATAATACCTCAAGATATTCAAAATATACGCACCCCATCCTCTATGACGATCTCGAGTTGGCGATGCCTAAGAGCACATACACTTCACCTCGACAACCAGACTGTCACTGAAGATTCCTGGACTAGCCGCGTGGGCGTTCTCATGGATCAGTTGGCTGACCTTAAGATAACACTGCCCATTATCCAGGCCTACCTGCTATGACGGATAACCAGATGACCAGAGTTCCCAGGCTCGGCGCTACCTGTACTCCCACTGGGACGGTCCCATTTTGCGAAGACACTTGGCAGGACAATCGAATCACCCTTTCTCTCACGCTAGGCGACAAACAGCTGTCGGAGCTCTTTCACGCTGCCCTTTGCCCACTCTAATGTACTCCAAACCGTTTAAGGAAAACATCTCAAAGAAAGGTTAAGCCCAGTTTCTTAAAGGAGCGTGAAAAATTGGCAGACGATAACACATGAGACAAATAAACCAAAAACTTATACTAGAAAAAAACAAAATTTTACTTCAATTTTGCAGTAAGTTCTTATATAATAATAAAAAAATTGTTTGTTAAACGACGATTTAATATTTCCTGAATTTGAGCAAAACCTGGAATCGGTTTGAAGAACAGCTTTCCAACATAATTTTTAGTTTATTTAATTTTTTGATTTATTTTTCAGTGAGCAACGATTTCACAGTTACATGATTATCATTTCTAAGATTAAACGATAGAAAATTTCAATATATAACAATCAACAATATTGACGTTATATATATTTCTTTATATCTATATATAGTTTTAAAGTGTTGAACGTTAATAAAACCACCTGATTCTTGAATTCAATAATATTAAAGACAGTTTAGCTAAATCACTTTAACAGATTATTTGGATTTAATTTTAGCCAATTATCTATACAACAGGATTTAAGAAGTGTTTAGTGGACAGATAACGAAGCATTGACGGAATTCATGAGAAATATTGCCTATCATGATTACAATGCCGATCATGATTTGCTAGTCATGTTTGAACAATGATATTATTTTCTCAAAACAAAGTATCAATGCTTTATAGGATATGAGATCGGTTTAACAACTAGTTGGTATGCTTACAGTGATATCACGAATCTCTACAAAAGAGCTGGTTCTAATTTGTCAACATAGTGAGTTGAAGCAGAGACAACTGACAAACAGTAATTTGCTGACACCGTCAACAAATCAATGAAACCTCTGCTGGATAAAACAGATCCATTATCGAAAGATAAATCGAACTTTCAATTCGATTTTGAATAATTGAATGAACAAGAGGAAAGTCGCGGCGGATCCGGCGTTAAATCAAATATTCACGCAGAGCCGACGTGGAAACATTTTAAAACGTCGGTGTTATCAGGTTTGAAACCAGGAGCTGGCTACAACGTCATTACTAAATTAAAATTTCCAAACACGCCGCTAATGTTTCATCTTGCCCGCTTTGATACAGAGCTCCGACCCCGTAACTTGTAGAATATTTAGAGCAAACCGTCCCAAACGATTCCATTTGTGGACTGTTTAAAAGGGCAAATGTGACAATCCCGACCGGCCCGCACCGCTTCGATTTGGTGGTACAATCTGTCTATAGCTGATAAATATAAAATTATAATAATCACTAAATTTCATCATCGTTGAAACCAATCATTTAAACAGTAGAAAGCATACCACTTTTATACAACAAACAAAAAATGTTTTAAATGATTAGTCTTAGCTCATATGATTGAAATAATTTAAAATATGATTACAAGTATAATTGAATAACTTTATTACCGTTTTGTGGTTGAATTAAATTTAATTTTTAAATGACTTCAATAAATTTAAACCCCAATTCAAACTCCAAATCATAAAAAATACTGCTCTCATTTTAAGTTAATTCATTTAGAAATTTCAATCGGAAGCATTTTAAATTAAAGTTTAACTTAATTTTTGATTGAAATGTTCTAAATTCATGAATATCGTTGATTATAATATATATGTTTATAATGTAATTATTCTGAGATAATGGTGAACGAAGTACTAAAGTTTTAACTGTCATTACAATTAGCAATTAAAAACTCAAGGTCCGAGCTATAGGTGACAAATGAAGCCATATTCTTGAAATATTGGTCGTAAAATACATTTTATTGCTATTTCGACGTTCAGAGTTATTACTTAAACGAAATTTCCAGTTTTCTAAGGAATCGAATACAGTTCTTGCAGTAAGGGAAAAAAATAATAATTTCTATAAATGAAAACATTACTTCAAATTCTAACATAATAAAACTAAAAATAATAATAAAACCTTTTATTTTTAATTGGTTCAGTTAAATTAGAAAAAAAGAATAGAAAGAAGAAATATGATGTAACCTAACAAGAACGCCAAATACACGATCCTCAAGAGGGTTAGAAGCAAATTGTGTCATCGAAACGAATTATCTTGATGAACTCAGCGCATCTTCGGCCCGTGGCAGGAAAAGAAGAGTGAATTCGTGATCACGGGTACGAGGGTTTGGGAATACTATCTACTTCAAGATCAGAGACGTTCCGACAAATGACGAAAGGCCGTGTATTTAGGCGATGTCTAAATTATGTACATGGCTAAAAATGCCACGGGAAGGGAACAATAGGTTGAGAATTTCGGGAGTAGAGGTATAGGAGAGGACGCAAGTTTGATGGATCACGAAGAAGATGATCCATCAGGAGTTGGAAAGGCGGAAGAATCCCAGGACACTTGTACTCGGTGAGACATTGTCCTCCAAGGATGTCGGCTTTCTACAAACGATAAGGCGTTTCAGAAAGTTGACCTTTTTGTTAAAGGTTTTGTTTGTATCTAAGGTAAAAAAAAACTTGTATAAATCATATAAAATTAAGACTATTAAATCGATCTAATAATTATTTACGACAGTAAAATTGTATGAAACGTCGCGGAAGAGGTGAAAAAAGTTCCACATGTGATATTTCTCGAAAGAAACCTTTAGTTTATAACTCAAACAGCGGGAGTCAGTTCTGGATTGGATAATACAACTACCGCACTGGTCAGCAGTCCTGGCAACAAATAAATAAGGATGAAGGTTAATTGATCGCAACTGGGAATCGGGAAAGGTTAGACAGGAAGACTTAAGATGGGGATAGGAAGGGTAAGATGGTTTATATAAAGGAAATATTAATGCAAAACCCAGGTCAGCGTAATCTTCAACCTCGGCCTGAAATATAACGAGGCGAATAAATAGGATTTTTTATTTATGCGTATTCAGTTGTGTAACGGTCACATCTTTAGCCTTTTGAGGGTTTATTTCGTCTTTTGTTATTTATTTATTTCTTTTATATATTTAATGAAAGTATTTAAATTTGGATTTGGAAAAAAAATGGCACTCGTGGAGTTTGGTGCATCTTGCCATTTAACTATGCTTGTAGGGTATAAAGGACCCCCATTTTTATAGCCCGTCGATGAAACGTATGTATATTTAAATTACTATCTCGATTATATCTAAATTAAGTTATGTCAATATTTAAGGATTATAAAATTATATGTTCAAGATCTGTTAAAAATTATATGGTATTTCCGGCGGCTTTCACGGTATAAAATAAAAAGTATTTTTTTCTAACGAGACAAGGTCTTCTTCTCAACTAGATTCTTACCTTCCAAGCCCAGAGAAAAAAAAATAATAAAAGGCATATTGAGGCTCTGTTTAATTAAGGGATGTTTCTGCCCTGTTCGTCCTTCCAATGTTAAAAATGTTTGTTTTCCTCTTCCACGGTTCTCTTGTTTCTTTCCAACATTCGCCAAGTCTGAAGTTCTGTTCTTTTCCCGATTCTTCTATTGTTCGTTCGATTGTTTTCAGCCGATGGTCGGCCTACCTGCAAGCGGACAAAGGTACGATTCCGAATTCTTTTCATTTTTTTTTTATATCCCGGTCCATCGAATCCCGGAGGATTATAGGTCAGGTAGAGGGCTCCAGTTTCGAGGGCTAGCAGGTGGGGTGGGTTCCATCAAGGTCGCACCCCCTGGCTAACGGGACTTGGGGGCCAGCTGGAATGGCCCACCGTTTTTCGTGGATTGGTACGCTCATTAGACCTTGGGAAATGTCGAGAACATACATTTATAGAAAAATCTCTTCAGATCAGGTTAAAGGTTTTAGAAGTAATTTAAAATAATATTTTTATTTCATATCTTACTCAATTACTTAACCCATCCTCGTCTACCGCTAAGCAGTTTGAGTCTTTCATGTCTGAAACCTCGAAACAGGTCGAATACCAAAGACCAAAATTTACTTCTTCTAAATTAATTATCTATTAATTCATATTTGCACGAATCTATAAAACATATTGATATATATTTGTTCAAAATACTGACAAACCGGAACTCGTGGTCGTGGTTAAAAGAATTCTTAAAATAAAAATTCTTAAATCACTTTGCATTCAAGATAATTTAGGAAATATTTGAACTTTCTTTTTTAAAGTCAGAAACGTAATAAAAACAAGCGTACGCAGTAATCCCGTTCCTCTCCGCCTAATATATTACGACGAGCATGAGATAAAAGACAAACCAGACGGTTTCCTGCCCAGAGACTCCTAGACAAGAGAAGATGGTCCTAAATATTTTTTACCTGGAGAGAGGAGGTTTTAGCGGTGAAGTGGCCTACTATCGTTATCAGATAAGTAAATGTTTATCGAGCAGTAGAGGGCCAGTGTGGCGATAAGCTGAGTAAACCTGGGCAGGACCCGGGACGTCTCGGCGAGGAAGGGATGATACCGCATTAAAAACTCAGACAAACGTAGAGCCGAGGGATGGTCGGAAAAATTCCGGTTTGTTTCTGGGATGGTTGGATCGGCCTAGGAAATATTTCGCTTAATTCATTTTTATGCAATGACAAATAAAATTATTAGTGATTAAACTAAGAGCAAAAGCGCAAAAAATATAATATTATGTTATTATAGTACGATTCATTCAATAATCTAGTCTTTATGATTAAGTCTAGATTCATTAATAATTAACAATTAAAACAAAAAAATGTATTTAGAACATATTATATTAAACACTAAGGACTAATTAAGTCAAAGTCTATTTACCAAGCCTACGTCACTAATATGTATGATAGTCTCGCTTATAATCATGATCACACTCATACAATTTTTCCCCTAGAGTTAATTTAATATTCTTAGTTTAATTTTTGGGTGACTTAGGTGAGTAGATCAATTATGTACAATTGTTAGTTTTCGATTTACAACAACTGTGCGGTGAAATTCAATAGGGAGTGTAACCCAGAGACCGTCTCATTAATATGTTGTAGATTTAGTAAGAGAACAGTATATATTAAAATAATAAATTAATAAAAAAATCCATTATGCCTAACAAGGGTCATCTCTCAATGGATTTTTGAAGTAAGTAGAGAACATTACAGAAACATGACAGCGGTAGCAGTGAAGAGCAGTGGAAATGCATCTCCACACTCCCATGCAATTAGTGCATTAATGATGCTTCCTAATTGAAGCCAGGAATATCTAATGAACCTTTTGTTCGAGCTAATTGTCGGTCGACGGCTCGTTACAATTTAAATTGAAACAATCGCCGTTTTAGAGCCATTAGACGCTGCTCTTGAAATAACCAACACCTTGGGGAAACAAGAACTAGGGCGAATCCGGACGCCACTTAAATATTCTGAAAAAAAAGACAATACATTCACCATCCATCATTGTGATCGACAACAGTTAACGTAAATGGGAATATGAACTAGAGGGTCATTGGTATCACATGGTATCTAATTGGTATTACTACAGTTATTCTCTCAAAAGTTTGTGTAAAAGTCATATTTGTTATGCCTATAGGATTCGAAGTGGAAGGATTGTTTTGATTTGATTATCCTAAATATGAGGATACAGTGCATCAATAGTCAACTCAACAAATAAAAAAAAAAATCACTGAAATGTGCTGACTTATATATCAACTATAATTTTTTTTTAAACTGTTCCAAAATTGTGAATTAACCATGAATAATCCATAGTTCCTTTTGTAAAAAAAATATAAGATCTGAATGCTTCAAAACTTCCGATTATCTCGTCATTACATCACTGCTATCAAGAAAATATATATTTAATCAAACCACTTCTAGGATATTGCACTTTTTGATGGTATTTATTTCAGATTTTGTTGTTTTTTTTATTAAAAAATAAATCGATCTGCATATATTTTTTTTTTCATTTTCCACACATCTAAGTTGAATGAATGAAGTAAATTAGTCCAGTAATGAAAACGTCAAAAAGATTATAATATCCTAACTAGTCAGTTCAGAGATAAGAATGTTTGAGCTAACCTACGTACAACAGCTATCTCCTGGTCATATATCAACCTCACCTAGCCACACACCCAAGTGTACTTAGCTCTGTGGAAGGAGCAGTCTCCAACTTCAAAATTCCTCCAGGGAATAAATTACGAAATTTATCTCTAGAACATTTTAGAGGTTAAGTTATTATTTATTTCTAACAATGCGGGTTTATAATAATAATAATAATAATAATAAATATGACTAACATGTCACATAATTAAAAATTAACTTATGAACATTAGATTAATTTATGGTTATGAACATTAAGACTAGGTTATGGCTAGTTCTTGTACCAGGTTGTCACTTTTTCATTTTAGATGCACATTATTCAACTATCTTAAGTAGAAATTTTACGGTGATCGAAATTAAAAGATCTCTAATTTAATTTACGAAGATTGTGTAGAATATAGGTTTTAAAAATGTTATTACGGCGTATTGAAGGATATATAACTTTTCTAAACTGATGGTAAATTATTATTATTATTATCATCATGGGAAATTATTATTTTTGTGACGAAGGTTCAATGTTTTATAGTAAATTTTGTCTTACAAGACATGTTTTTTTTTTCGAAGTGAAAACTTCTTAGGCACGTTTTGCAATTTTTCGTGGAGAGTGAATTAGATTGATCTATTAGATTTCGGTTCGGCATTAACTCTCGGGTAAAGTCGGCTAGAGTCGACTAATAAAAATATTTTTCATATGGATTAAAACATCTTACAAACTATAAATCGGGTCTGAATACTGTAAGCGAGGGAATTGTTCAGCATTTTATCCTCTCTGTAATAGACTATAATTCAAAATTGTATCTGAACGCAACGGCGTGTTAGGGAGCCAAAAAATAAAATAACAGTGTTCGAAACCAAATGATAAGGTTTGTTGAAAGTATGGATTAAAATATTTCAGATATTAAAAATCGTATCTGTATACTGTAAGCAAGGGAAATGAATTTTCAGTATTTCATCTTCTTTTTAATTAGCTATTATTTATAATTTATACTTCTTATTCTTAATTTTGCCTTGATGTTTTCACTTAAATCGTTTGGTGACAAAAACACATACCTTAATTTTTTTGTTTGTATTTCCAAAACTAGTGTATTGAATTTGATGAAATATGTGGAGCTATGCGTTAAAAAAACAATATGCAATAAAAACATAAATTGCAATTTTTTACTAAGAAATCTAGAATGAACAATATTATTAAACAGTATTTCCGAATATATTTGGAAAAGGAAATATAATATAAATTTATAGAAAATAATTTTTATTAAACTCTCATTTAAACAATTATTATATAAATAAAAAGATCCTATAACCTATATCGAACGTTTATTGGCAATGAAAATTACCAAATAAGTTCTTTGAGGATGATTATTGCCCAAATAGCATATTAAACTTAGCATATTCACTGGAGCGGAGCGGTTTATGACGACATAAATTTGTGAATAAAATTTTATAGGTTACTCAATGCTCCTGGAGTTATAGCCGTAGTGCCATAATAAATGAGATAAAAACTTTTGTACAATATATAGATATATAGAAGTGTAGAATTTTTTAGGATGGCCATCGTGAAAATTATTGATAAACTAATAATAAAACGTATTTAAAATTCGTTCTAATATTCATGGATATAAGAAATATTAATTACAAGAAGCAATCGATGAATTTAATGTTTAAAATTTCAACAAAAATAGCCCTATTGTACAGGATTAAATTTCATATATTATTATATATATATATATATATATATATATATATATATATATATATATATATATACATTTACTCTTCACATTCGACAAATCGGTCACAATGAGTATGAATTAACTCTGTTACACAACGGATTCCTAAGATGACTGAAACTCTGTAGGAATTCGAACGGTGAATGCTTCTAGAGTATCAGAGTTGGATGAAATTAGCTGACTGTAGTATCATAAATGTCAACACAAATATACCGTGACTATCCGATCCGATAAATCAAAGGATGAATACCATCTTGGATGATTTGGGGCTTATGATTCGTATTAATAGGGTACTTTAATTTCATGCTTGAAATTCTCAAATTATTTATTCCACATTTGGGCACGAATTTCGGATCAAGGAGTATATTACATCGTGTACAGTTATAAATAAAATAAATAAAGCATAACCAAAAGTTTTATAAGGGTATATACGTAGATATATATATATATATATAGTAGCCATGAATAGTGGTTTCTAAAGTAATATTAATAAACATTGTTCTACATAGTTTTCAAAAAAGGAATTTTGTGTCATGCTTATTTAAGTGTTGCCACGGACGCGGACTCAAAAATAAAAATATACGTTCTTTTTTTATAGTCAAACTTTTTAATTATTTTTGAAAAATGTATTTTTTTTTTTGGATAATTTCCAAAAAAAAGGACTACGATCTTGTAAAAGTTGAGGCAAGAAAAATGAAGTTTCCAATAGTCCTTTCCAATAACTGTTTAACAATAAATATTCTATCTCTCTAAACTAAAATAATTTAGAATTTGATTTAGATTGTTTCATTTCCTAATCCATATAACTTACTGGAGGCGATTAACATTCATCATTTCCTTGTTCTGTATTTTTATAATAATTATATTGTTATCCTTTTCAGGTTCAGCATTGACGCTAGAGAAAAATTCCTGTCCTTCCTGGGACGATGGCTTTAGCCATAAGCAATCAACTCACCATTAGCTAACACAAAAGGGGAATGGATTTCCTTAAAGAGACTGGATACCTCCTGGCATGCCTTACTTTATTATCCACTAAATCTTATAGAATATACACATTAAACTTCTAATTTATGCCGTCAACTGACCGACTTGGTCCTCCTCTTTATGCAGCCTTTACGTCACAGACCTAATGGAGAAGTCAGAGAGAGTATAAACGCACTGGCTAGTGGATCCAAATATTCAGATCCTCCGGTCGGTAGTAAGTAAGCTAGGAAAGATGACGGCGATAAAAATTCTTCGACATTAATTTTACAACTTCGTGGGAGTGCGAAAATGGCAATAAAATCAGCATCGTGGAATGTAAGGGGGTCAAGGGGGTCGACTTTATGATCTGCAAAAATACAAGTCATTTGGGCTGACCCTCTGGATTTCTCTCCAGACTAGCTTTAAGAAGGACGAATATTTATTTGATTATAGCATTTGAAACCTCGTTAACATGATATCAAGTTCACATTAACAGAGTTACCCCATATTAAAAAAAAACAAGTAAAATTATATCAAGGCTTACGGCAAGGCCCGAGAAGTAAATATTTCATTTGAAGTTTATTGGGCAACAACGAATTTCAAATTGTTGACTAATGTTGTACGTGGAGTGCTCTGGCAAAGACAGCTGTAGGTGCATTATATAACGACAATTTGATAAGATACCGAATGTTTCGTGTCATCCCGAGAGTCATCGACTTTTAAAGACGTCATTATAATGGCAGTTTTGTCGCAATAAGGTGCAACTCTAGTGAATAAATAACCAAAACTTAGCGGATAGTGTTGCCTAAAAGGAACAAACATAGTATCAGTAAGTTAATGAATACCGCACACGACTACTCTAAAAAAGAAATGGAAACTGGACGATAATCTAGTAACGAACTAGAATTGGATTGCCTTTAACTATTTGGAGATGTGCTCTAAAAAATATGATCCACCTGCTACTTTTTTGAGCCATCAATCTTCAATCTTCGATATACTTCCATGATGTTAGTTTATTGTATAAATTGTCCTTTGAAAATATATTGTAACTAATCATCATATTATTTATAATCACATAAGTGCATATGTATATGTATATTTATATAAGGGAATTCTCGGAAAATTTCGATGATCTAGTCTGGAGTGCCCATCCCCCAAAGATCTCAATTGCTCATCTTTTCTTAAAAACAGAGGAAGCTAAGGTAGAATTAGAAAATTCGTAATCATATACAATTAGACTTGCTACGGTCTGTTCCATGTTTCTCTCTTGTCCCTTAGTCCGAAAATTCATAATCCCATCGAAATGTGTGCCCCTAAAAAATTCAAAAGTCCATCGAAGTATGTTCACCTCAAAAATGTTGATGGCTCACCTTGCACCATAGAGCCCTCTTTTGGGCACCGCTGGATCTAGTACTTAACAATTGGTATGAATTTTTACCTGAGGACGAAAACTGAATATCGACTCATATTTCGGATGAAAACATTTAACAAATTAGTTTAAGTTACTGCAAGTAATAAGTCATAAAAGTTTTAAATAGTGTCAATAAAATAAATCTAACTAAAACTAAAAAAAAAAAAATCTCATGTGATCAAATGTTGATTTAATGCGTTACCAGCAGTTAGTGAATATAACATATTTATATCTTAAATGTATATTTATTGAAAATATTTCACCAATATATAATATGCTTACCATGAATATCGGAACTAGAACAAAAAGCGACTCTTAATAATTCTTCCTTAAGATACATAGTCAAAATCTTGCTCACCTGAAAAAAAAAAATAATGATTAGATTAATATGGTATAAATAATAAATATGTAAATATACATTTAAGTTGAGAATTAAATCGCAACAGACGTTGACTGAATCAATTTATTATTGATGTCAACTGGTCTTCAAAAGGGTTTCTTATAGTATGGGAAAGAGTATTTTTAATTTATGGTTAATTAACCTAACGAGTGAAAAAAAAAAATGAAATATTGTTTTCATAACAGTGTAAGGTAAGAAGGCTAGGAGAAATACCAGTGCCAGTATTAACCATAAATGGAATAGGTCAGGGATATGACCAACATAAACTGGATAAAAGAAGCTTTATTCCTCAGCTTCACCCGAACGATCCCAAAGGGACTCCGATTACTAAACTAATCTAGTAGAAACTATTATAACAAATAATATAACATAAAACATATAATTAATTACAATATGGATGCATTTAATTAACTTGTTAATGACTAAAAGGTATTCTTGCGTAATGATTCACTGATTGATCAGATGATTTACTAAATTAATCGTGGACATAAACGACTTCATTACAGTCTTAAACGTTTCTTGAATGAAAGCTATTAGTTTTTATAAGAGGCCAGCATTTATGGAATTAAAAAATTATCACATAAATTAAAAAAATGGTCATTTAAAAATAACACAAACTAACCATAGGCATCACCTAAAAATCATTGAAAAAGAACAAAAAATGTTTTAGTGTTGGTATAAACTTCAAATAAAAAAAAAATTAATTTTCTGCAGTTTTTATTCCATCCCCTTCCAGTTTCACACGCCTGGCACTTATGTGGATGTGCGATAGATATTATTATATGTAACTAGGTAAAGCTATTAATTAGTAAAGTAAATTAAAATACTCCTACAATTAAGATAGATTATAAAACAACTATAATTTAGATTTATTTTGTTGAAAATCTCATTAAGTTGCGTTCCAGTTGTGTGTATTTCAGTAAAAAAATGAAAGGCTTTGAAACTTCCTTTTTTTATACCCCTCCCCCCCTTCACCCTTCCCTCGCCTTTTAGGCTAAACGGAGATTTTTTGGAACCAGGGAACGGGGAGTGGGATTAATAATAGAGTTAAAATCCTTGTAATTATTTTATATCTTGTAAATTTCTGTTTATCATCTAGTATCGGGATAGACGGATGTTTGGCAAACACATTAGTCCGCTCGGCCACCCCACTTCACATCCCTTGAATCCCAATGAATGTAACCTAAATAAATGATAGGAGAGGATTTTTGGAAGTAGAGAATAGAGTTACTAAGAAAATGAGCAAATAAACCTTCCTCTTTATTTAAAATGCAATGCATTCCATATTGAGGCTATCGTTCTATTTGTTGTGTATTCCATCATACACCTTACAGGCCTTGCCCAATGCATGACCTTGTAAAACCATATTGTACAAATACTCGGTTAAATCTTGTGGTTAAGTATGCTAATACCATAAGCCAACGATATTCAAGCTTCACCACGAAGGATTACACTATAGGCCCGCCATGAGTAATGACCGATGAATAAACCACATCGCCTTGCCCACCAAACCTATCATGGACGATCTATCGGCAGGCACAAAAGGGCTAATGAATATACTGAGCGAATAGCAAATAATAAATAAAATAAGAATTACAAAAGGGGATTAGTGAACAAAAGGTTGAAATATTTGAGTCACGGTTGGAGATAATAAGCAAAGTGGGCGTTTTATCTCATGGGATTGCTCCAGTGTTCAAACTTCAACGATAAGGATGCAATAGTGTTCACCATACATAATAAAAAGTAAAAAAAAATGTAAATATTAAAATATAAGTATGTTAATTTAATTAATTTTCTGTTGTACAGTTTCCTTGGGGGAGAGACGGCTGAGCGGACTAACGTGTGTGTACAGCACCGTTCGTTGGCTTGAGAACCTGATGGAAGATAATAAGATAAAATTATTATGAGTTCGCGTTTAATCCTCACCCTCACCCCTTGTTCAGGAAAAAAACGCTTATAGCCTATAAAGCGAGGAAAGTGTAAAAAACAAAACAAAATGTTCAGTTTCTAATAATTTTACAGCATTTAAATACACTGTTTTCAAGATTTTTATTAAAGAGGTGATACAAGCATTTTCGATACTTTGACAAGATTAAACAACTCTCTTACGATTGTTTCTTGAAATTGCTTAAATTCCGTTTTGATACCAAACCAATCTTTATTTCCTTACCTGTTGCGAGACACGAAAATTATACGAAGCAAATAATTAATCAAACCACTGATTTTGTCTGTATTATGTAGACTCTATCAAACTGAACAAAACGGAGTATGGGTCCTTACGCAATGGGCATGGGAAGGGTGGAGCAGAAAAATATTCCGAATTTGGAAATAGTTGAGTAACTTTTTAGTGACCCCAGAAACGTTAGAACAACTCACTGAAACACACGTGTCGATGATCACCGTTATAAATCCGATTTCACTTTTTATGAGTGGGAAAGTCCGGGTAATCTTGGAGCTAATATTTATTGAAGGAGATGCGAGATTTGGGCGTGATGATACAGGGTTCTCTGCCGTAAAACATATAAGGAATTTTTCCTTGGTGCTTCTGAGGAATATAATGTAAGTTACAAATAAAGAATTAAGGTTATCAGTTGATGTTCATCCTAAGAGATAATTATATCAAACAGGTACAAAGTTTTTTCAATAAATGATATTTTATGCTGCTGATATTCCCCAGAATTCAAGCTAATTCAAAGAGTCTTACTTTGTTTATAATTGTAAAAATGGAAATTTGCCAATATAATAATTATTTTTAGATCTGAATTAACAAAACTTAAAGCCTTATATTTACTGATCTAAGTTCTAATGTAATTGTCTTGAACTTAATTCGAACATCTTTTGAAGTTCCCAAATGAAAATACTAAGATAAATGTACTCCTGATGTTAATGCCGGAAATTTAAATATTTTAAGATCTTATCTACAATGTATATGGGAACAACATGCTTTAAATAGTTTTAATACCCTTGTAACTTCATTAAGACCATCCTTGGATTACTATGTGTAAGAAAGATGCTGTCTTCGACAAAACAAATCAATTGAATGATATATGTTATGATCCATTCTGAATTCTCGATGTGTAAATGTCATAAGCAAAAGAAAACACCGAAGAACGATATGGCCGCGGACAACGAAGTCCTATTCTTTATTGATGTGTTTATCTTCCCGACGGCAATATGACAGGAAGAAGAGACACTGCGGGGAACAAGAGCAAGTAGAGAGGCTGGCAGATTTCCAAAGCGATGTGGGAGTCGCGGTCAGCTGCGGAGAGAAAACATTAGAAAGCTGAGGTTTAGTGTCGCCTCGGGTCGCGGGGTCGTCGTCTTTTACGACTTTTGAGTGATATTTGTTTTTAAACTATAATTAGTGAGCTATGGCTGACGCAGGGGAAGAGATTTCTCCTCTAGGGGCTGGGCCGCGGAAACAGAAACTGCGATCAACCGAGTTCATCTTCCCATTCTCCATTATCCGGTGTATGGGACTTTTGTCTAAGGGCACAGAGGCGACAGGCAGTCATTGTGCTGAGTCTGGTGAAAGTTGGCGGGGAGTTAGCAACAGAGAAGTTCATTTCCAGGCAATGCCATTTTTCTACTGCATTTTTACAGAAGGAAGAGATGGGGTCATCACAAACTCATCATCTTTAAAGGATAAATTACTAATATAAATAAATATCGATAAAATATATATATGTATATATCTTTATTTCATAGGATAGAAATAGAAAAATAAAAAATAAGCTTTATTCTGGGATGATGTTCCCTCAGGATAACAATAATGAACAGTTACAAAAAAAAAAAAAACATATCTGGCCAAAAACTAACCTAATAAAGATTCAAACAATATATACAACAACTTAAATAATAGTATGTAAACAATTAAAAAATAAAATATTCTTAACTATACTTATAATTGTACTGGAAAAAATAACAAAAAGGAAAAAGAAAAAGAAAAGCATTACATGTATATAGCGTTGCCCAAAATCGCTCTTGGTCTTGCACTTTGCAAGACCAAGACCAAGGCCGCCTAAGTGTAACAAGACAAAGACCAGGACTGGTAAAAAAAATCGATTTTTTAATCAAAATTAAGGCAAAATAATTATTAATACTTGATAATCTTAAATACTATATGTTAATAATTGGTATAACCGATATACTTTTGCATTTAACTCGTCTAATTTTTCATTTGGGCTTAGTCAGGTTTCTCTTATTGAAATAATTACAATAATATTTCTATAATAATAATCTAATAAACAACTGCAAGACTGTTGCGAGACTCTTGTGCAAGACCAAGACCCATGGCCAAGATTGCCATTCGAAGCCTTAGTTAGAACTGTTTTCCGTCTCTGTCTCGCTCTATAATTTAAAAGATAAAATCAGAAAACAAAATAAAATTACATTAGTTTTAACTCGTAACGAATAACTTATTTAAAAATTATAAATAATTTAATACGTGCAAGTATAATATGCGTACACATATTCTCCCGAACGCGAATAAAATTTAACAAAGGAGACCTCTTGCTAGACGCATTAACTAAACTTAGAAAAACGATGAGTACGTTGGAGGGACGGAGTTAGAGCTAGAAGCGGTTAGTAAATATTTATATCATTAGCGCTTAATTCACCAACAGGACGCCTGATTAATGTGGCCGTGGATGGCCGTAACTCAGCCACTGCCTCCGCAATCGTTGGCAATTTTATTTAAATTAATTTCAGCCACATCCAAACGAATTAGAGCAATTGATAAATGGAATAAGCCACTGAATTCTTCTAGTATTTACTTTAGCTTTAATTTTTAATTTAAGTTAAAAAAAAAAAAAGTGTGCGTCGATCGTATAATAAGTAATTAGACACAATGGAAATTTACATAAATTATTATGATATTAAAAGCCCCAGAATGCAGAAAAATAAAGAATTTGAAGATCTGTAAACATATAAAAAAATTAATAAGCTGCTATGAAAAAAAAATATAGAATTTTTTATAGCATTAAAATTATTAATTTTTATAAGAAATGATCTTCAAGCTGATTATGCAATAAATTTTATATTTATAAGTACGAGTGTGCATTTGACCG